TAAGCGTGTGCTTGCAACACAACCCTTCAAGGCAAAGGGCATTTCATTCAACGGGATTTTTAACCCCATATGCAGAAATCAAAGTCTTAGAGCATTCACCCAGAGCCTTTGATTCTTGTCCCAAGATGACCGTGGTCATCCTTTCTTGCCATCGGAATAGCAACGGCTAGCCGGGTGTTAACATTGGACTTTGCAAAAAAAAGGTACTTATGGACATAAAAAGAACCTTGATAAACCTCCCTCTTTTTACAGTAATTGAGGCCCGTAGTTCTAACCTGGACACGAAAACAATGGATTTTTTTTAAATGATAGGACCCACCCGGCTGTTAGGAAAGGGTAATAGAGCTTCCCGCTAGATACCTTTCATTTTTATCCTTTTTTTCTGTAGACCGTAGAATCGATCTCAGCAGGTTGGCTGGATTTGGGAAGGTAATTACTGTGACTAAGCAACGTAATTACACTAGGATAGCTGGGCTCGGGATGATACGATGCGGGTTTCTTTTGCATCTCAGGTACCGGAATAGTGCATCAAGGAAGAGAAAAGGGAGGAATTGCATTCAACCCTAATTATCTTTCGAGAGAAAAGAAAATTCTTGGAAAAGACTTCCACTCAGTCGAAAAAATATAAATAAAGTAAGTGCCGTGAAGTATATACTGACGTATGTTGAAAGGCGGAGAGCATTTCTCAGGTTGGCAGTCGACGTGCTTAATGGCACTTGTTAAGTACCTGCTAAACGATTCCTTAGTCAGAAAATGATTACAACAAATGAAGCAAGCGATGAGATCTACTGGCAACTGGGTGCCCATGCCAGGTGTTTGTATTTTTCCCACCAAATTGTTTCGCTGATAGACAGGGCAGACACTGTTGAAGGTATGGAGTTGTGCTTGTTCTTCTTTATTCACGTTGTCGACCTTTTAGTAGCTCAGGGAGAGCGTTCTTGTGTAATTTCACCAAATTTGCTTAGTTGCATGAAACAATCAGTTATGGAGTTTTTTAAACTCGGTTCTAAACCTGATATACATGTCTGAGACTTTTTCGAAAATATACAATTTATAACTCCTGTCATTTGGTCATACATGTAGCATACATTGTGATATACAGTAAACCTCAATTATATACATATTTTGTAAATTTCAAATTATCTTATTATTATTATTATAGTCTTTGAGTAGCCTTTTTCTTTCTTCTTATCCAAATCGGAGTTTATTAGAGACAGGAGAGTCTTTTCTTTTTGCACAGTACCAAAGTGAAAAATACAGCATTATCAATAATTGAATTGAATGAACGGTGTTCCCATTCGAAGCAACTGATGATCTTTCATGTTAAACATCCTCACAGCATTTGCTGTCAATTTCTTATGGATTTCCAAAAGGACAAAGTGCTACAATGTAGTGATAAAAAGGAGGGGAAAATCAATCATTTTCAATCCAATATGTTCACATTGGTACTAGTATTTAACCACTCTTGTGCGTTTGTTAGAAGACATTGACGTTGAAGACTTCTGAAGCAGAATGGCTGATATATTTAAACTCTTCCTGAGGAAAAATCTATAAATATCGTTAATGCAGTTGTGTGATCACTAGCTGAATCTGAGAGAAGGTTTTTTCTTTCCGAAAATAAAAACATTTGTCGTTTTCCGTATCACTACCCAAAGTATAGTGTATGTAACTCTTAGACAAAGTGCTAGGTATGAGCGTAGGCGACGAATAAATGCGCGATTTTCAGAGTGATAATAAAAAGNCAGTAAATAGAAGCCATTGAGAACCTGCAGTCATGTTATTGCATGCAAACGACCCAGCAAATCGTCGTAAAAAACATACTGGTTCACCATAAATCTTGGCTCCCACCGTGCCTTTAAACTCATTCTGTAAATCGAGGAACAATTTAAGGGCAATATTTAAGGAAAGGATCTCCCAGGCTGGAAATGAAGATCGGCACTTGTGTAGTGAAACATGCGGTTATCACTTTCTTCTCGTTCACTCACTAAAGTTACACTTCCTCAGAAGTGGACAAAACATAAATGGAGCACTGAACTCAGATATATCAATATAATATATTGTTTTTATCAAAGCATTATTGTTAAGTTGATATTGTAATAAAGGCAAGGATCAAAAGAAAACTGAACTGATCGCATTAGATGGATTAGCGGAGCATCTCGGCCAATTTCCCCCTGAAGTCTCTTCGCAACTTGATATAACATACGTTTATAATCCTTTGACATTATGAAATTAATCAATGGAAAATATCTCCACTAGTTTCCGATGTCTTTTATTTTTATTGTTTATTTTTATTTTGTCATGACAATCAATGGGCAACTAAGGCGTGAGTTTTCACATAGAACATACATGTTTAAATAAATGAAATAAAACAAAAACAGGTGGATAATATTGAGTGTCAATAGCACTTGAACTCATACAAATCTTTAACGTCAACATGCTGGTCACAGTACACAAGTTTTAATCACAATGCTCACTGGTCAGGACACAATATTCCCCATCCTACAAAAAGAAAAGTTGATTGGTATAAACTATGATTAGATTATTGACGCTCGGAAACAAATGAGCGTCTAAATGAGAAAAAAAAGGTTGTGCTCCTTGTAAGTTTCATGATATTCAGTGTCAATAGCACTTGAACTGATATATACAAATCTTTAACGTCAATATGCAGGTCACACGGCACAAGTCTTAATCACAATGCGCACTGGTCAGGACTTAATATACCCCATGAATCTTACATAAAGAAAAATTGATTGGTTTAAACTATGATTAGATTATTGACGTTCGGAAACAAATGAGCGTTTAAATGAGAAAAGAAAGTTATGCTCTTTGCAAGTTTTCCTGGTATACTTTCTTCAGCCATTTTTGGGAATTTCATTTTAGGTTTTAGTCTGAAAATCTCCAAGATTAATAGTGAGATAAGGAGGTGTGCATTTTACAAAGTTGCATATACCACAATGGAAGGCAATGCAAACTATGCCTTATACATGTACATAGAGCCTTACTCCAACTGTTGTAGCTGATACCGGAGAACGTTAATGTCGTTTAGTTAAAAAAGGGATTAGTTGAAAAGGCGCTTGCAATGTCCCTGTACAATACATCATAAAATATACCTATTCTATAAGATTTGGCGTACATTGTACATCGATATCGCGCAGGTTCATATACATTGGGTTAACAAGTAAAATTGGTCTATCATAAGGGGAAACTAAAGGTAACGTGGATATCAAGTGACAATGCAATGAAAAGAGTTAAAATGCACGCTCACGATTAGACTTTTGAAAGCTACAGATATGCAGTTGCTGTTGACATTGAAATATATCAAGTCGGAAAAGGACACGAAGACTGCATTTATTCCTTTACGCCAATAGCAATTATCTTTACTGGACGTATCCTGTTTTTTTTTCACTACTGTACGACTTTGGAGTTTCAACAAGTGCGGCGTCTGCAGGAGGACCGAAACTTTTTCGAGTATAGTGCTCCTTGTCAGTCGTCTTGTTTTAATTAGTCAACATTGTTATCCAGATCATTAGATTTTTTGGAATTTGACAGCAGTTATAAATAAATTTTCAATAATCTGATAATAATTGCACTTTGGTGTTCTTGTAAAACGAGAAACAGGTTAATCAATATGCGCCCTACGGTTTAGATACTGGAATGCGTGGCATAGATAAGAAAATACATGTGCAAAGGCCATATTTCTTCACAGTTACACAGATTCATCTCTTCCCTGGCGTCATATTAAGCCTATCAAACCTGAACGAATGTCGATTAGACGTAGAACATCCAATTTTGCTTGAGAATAAACGATATTAAATGCTTTCGCATCATTGCAGTACGACGATTTAGAAGAAATCGGAAATGTTTGACGAAGATATGAATTAACGTCAGATATACTTATTTGGCATTTGACAGAGTTGTGACTTTCATCTTTAATCTGCCATACGAGTTAAAGCTGCATACTTATTAGATTTTAAAATTAACATTCCAAAGAAAACTTTTTCGTTATTAGGTTATTTACGATATGCTACGTGTGTTCTGTTTCCGTAAAATTGTATCATTTAAATTACCAAATAAGTAACAAAATGACACGCATACAAACAAACATAAGCAGTTTTTACCTCAGCAACACTTCTGAGTTGCAAAGTTTCAGCAATTTCTAGAACAGAATACGGATATATCTTATCGTGTTTTTTGACCTTTTTAACATTAGCTAGCGTCCCAATTTGCAGGTAAAGCAGACTATTGGAGAAAATCTGTTCTACAATCAATTAAGTAATCCTTAATGACAGCTCGGTTTTTAGTTTATTCGAGACCCGTTTTGAGACCCCATTCGGCATCCTACTATATGAAGCAGATTGGCCAAGAACTAGCTACGGAGATATTTTAATTTTTGAGAACGTAACGTAAATTGACTTATTTCACATTCGGTATTCAAGTACAGTCTGTGCTATAAGCGTGTGCTTGCAACACAACCCTACACGGCAAAGGGCATTTCATTCAACGGGATTTTTAACCCCATATGCAGAAATCAAAGTCTTAGAGCATTCGCCTTGAGCCTTTGATTTTTGTCCCAAGATGACCGTGGTCATCCTTTCTTGCCATCGGATATAGCAACGGCTTTCCGGGTGTTAACATTGGACTTTGCAAAAAAAGGTACTTATGGAGATAAAAAGAACCTTGATAAAACTACCCTTTTTTACAGTTATTGAGGCCCATAGTGTGCTGGCGTCAATGTGTTCAAGCTCTTAGTGCTAGCCTGGACACGAAAACAATGGGTTTTTTGAAATGATGGGACCTACCCGGCTGTTAGGCAAGGGTAATAGAGCTTCCCGCTAGATACCTTTCATATTTATCCTTTTTTCCGTAGACTGTAGAATCGATCTCAGCAGGTTGGCTGGATTTGGGAAGGTAATTACTGTGACTAAGCAACGTAATTACACTAGGATAGCTGGGCTCGGGATGATACGATGCGGGTTTCTTTTGCATCTCAGGTACCGGAATAGTGCATCAAGGAAGAGAAAAGGGTGGAATTGCATTCAACTCTAATTATCTTTCGAGAGAATAGACAATTCTTGGAAAAGACTTCCACTCAGTCGAAAAAATATAAATAAAGTAAGTGCCGTGAAGTATATACTGACGTATGTTGAAAGGCGGAGAACATTTCTCAGGTTGGCAGTCGACGTGCTTAATGGCACTTGTTAAGTACCTGCTAAACGATTCCTTAGTCAGAAAATGATTACAACAAATGAAGCAAGCGATGAGATCTACTGGCAACTGGGTGCCCACGCCAGGTGTTTGTATTTTTTCCCACCAAATTGTTTCGCTGATAGACAGGGCAGACACTGTTGAAGGTATGGAGTTATGCTTGTTCTTCTTTATTCACGTTGTCGACCTTTTAGTAGCTCAGGGAGAGCGTTCTTGTGTAATTTCATCAAATTTGCTTAGTTGCATGAAACAATCAGTTATGGAGTTTTTTAAACTCGGTTCTAAACCTGATATCCATGTCTGAGACTTTTTCGAAAATATTTTCATACGTGTTCGTAAGTACAATTTATAAGTCATGCCATGGGGCCATACATGTAGCATACATTGTGATATACAGTAACCCTCAATTATATATTTTGTAAATGTCATATTATCTTATCATTGTAGTCTTTGAGTAGCCTTTTGGAGATGTATCTTCTTATCCAATCGGAGTTTATTAGATACAGGAGAGTTTTTTTTTTTTTT